CTAATGCATCAAAAGAAGTGTGTTTAAAAAAAGTAAACTTGACATAATTCGTTAAACTAATGATCATAAACAGTGCTTAGGAGGAGAGAGTTACAAATTCTCAGACACCTGGCTTACATATGTATCTTAAATCCCAAATTATTTCTTGATATGCGCAGTTCATGGATATACCAGGAGATAATAACCAGACAACTTGCATCGCACCATGAAGAGATTAAAAAATAACATTTCCAAGATACACTTTATGATTCCTCCATGTGCATGTTGTATTTAATCAAAATTTATCGAATGAAAATACAACAGAGAGCATTGTACCTCAAGCGCAAATCTTGTTTATACATTACAAGAAAAAAAAAAAGAAAAGGAAAAGAAAAGCCACTCGTCGTAGATTTCAAAGAAGTTCAAAAAAGAATTTTTTTAATCTTTAGAACAGTTTTGTTCAATATTTACTTTAAAATAAAAAAAGATTTTAATTTTTTAAATTTTGATTTCAATTTTTGTTTAGAGTCTCAGGAGAAATCACAGGCTGAGAAAAAGGAGCGGGCTCAGTATAACCGAGAGGACCACAAGGAGATGGAAAAGCTCTAAAAAACATCAATCTTACTGCAGAATAAATCCACCTTAAAAATTTTGTTTAGTTAAACTTTTTATGTTAACAATCTGAACATTTTGTAATCGGTAAATTAATGGAGATCGGAACCACAGAAGGGAGACCACAGCTCCCTCCAGGATATCGGTAGTAGAGACGGATTCAGGGCTATGTACTTCGTGTCCCTCAGTATCTTTACTACTACTATTGTATTTAGGGACATATTACTAAATTATGCAATTGCTGCATTTTGGTGAACTGTTATAATAGAAGTCGAAATTTCTCATTCTAGATCTACGACATTTGCATTTTTGTACCGCAGTAATTATACGTCCACCCAAGTAAAAGCAAATATAAACTTTTTTAAAAAATTGTTTGCATTTAATATTTTTGTCATTTAATTAAATTGTATCAATTTTAAATCTATGAAATATTCAATGTAAAATTACATTGGCTTTAATTGACTTTAATGGGTGGTAGTAAATACAAGAGTTGAAATATGACAATTCAGTAGTTAAAGAGGTGGCATTGGACAGGCCCGATATACTTTACTGCATCTTTCTCAGCCACCTCCCCCTTTTCCCTCCCTGTTCCTTTTTTTCTTAACTTCTTTTTAATCTCTTCTTCCTCTCTGCCATTTTCAACATGTACATGTATATCCGCCACCGATATACTTTTGGTAAGTCCTTCTATAGCAACTATAGATGTAAAGAAGTACATGAATACGCATAATTGACCAGTTCTATTTGGCAAAAATAATGGACAAGGAAATATGAATAACATTTGAATGATTTTAAGAAATATCACAAATAACAGTTTTTGTATTAAGTAATTATGACTCAAAACGAGCGTTGTTGAGAAAAGTTCGAGGACAATGTCAATCTTTGTTAAGTTAATTTAAAAATGAGCATAATATTATGTGTAAAATTTGTTTTGTTGATGTGTGAAGTTTCATTTCAATCGATTTAATAGAAATCATTTTATTTAATTTTAATATCAATATGTTTGGTTACCCTGGAGCAACTATGACGTCAAAAACAGCGTCAAGAGTTCCAATATATTTAATATAATCTGGTCCAATATCCATTTATTAAAAAAGTTTCTTTAGATTGAAATTTATTCTGCCAACAACTGTTCCAGTATCATAATTTTGTTTGTAAATGTTTTATTTTACTCTTTTATACCGAGTAACTGAGCTGTCAAAACGTCAAGGTACTGTGAAACGTCTTTCTCTTTCCATGACCTTGTCTATCAACTGAAAGTTTTGGCAAGATTTTCACAGTTCCATTTTTTTTTTACAAACCGTTCTTGTCAGATACATGTACAGAGTCTACATCGTTCAGATGTCCCCTGGGCCACATTTACACACACATGAAACACAGGTTTTTAGCAAATTTCCTGCCTTCTCAAGCAATTTCAGAGTTTACTTTGGACTTTTCCAGAGTACAACACAAAATTGTATCGTTAACTGCTGTTCCGCGACGTTCTACGACGTCCCTTTTTTGCATTTTTTAATGAAGACTACCTATCTAAGACAGCTTCTGAAATTGATTTCAATTCCACGTAAAAAAAATTTCATTCATAATTTGGAATAAGAAGGATGTTCATTTATTGTTTTTAACCTTCTAGATTTTTCTTCGTTTTTGTACCATTTTTAAAACGATATGGCTACAAGCATATGTTTCGGTATTGTTTGTAAAGAGGTTGTTGCAGAAACTCGCGATTATTCCCTGTGTATCGAGAAGGGCATTTAAATACCTGTGTTATTATATAAATATTGCATGTATTTGAGTGTAACATTGAAATTTTCACCCCAAGAAAATGGTTTTCGAGGGGTGAAAATTTTCAATGTTACACTCAACTACATGCAATATTTATCATATTATTCTGAATGTTTTATACAAATATATATATCAGTGAACCGTGCGCACATGAATTCTGCACAGTCGCTATTTTTTGGAATATCACCCGTCGTCAAGCAATGTTAACTGTTGCTATGCAGGAGGCTTCATTATTCAGCGGGTAATAGTGTTTTTTAACAAATGTTTCTCGACCAATCAGCTTCAACTAATTTACATGAAAGTACAATATGTCTAAATGTTTACGGCGGGTATTCCCTGCTTCTTAACATCTTAAGTTTATATCATACAAATTTTTTTCACATAGGAACTGACTGGCAACCTTTTAGTGAACGTTATCCTTTTTAGTTTATTAAGTTTTTAAATCATATATATCACTATCGCCATTTTGCACGAGAAAGGTTAGAACAATAAAAACCACAATGGCTGGTGCACCTTGCACAGCATTTTGAAAGATGTACTGTAGACACCGTGCAAAAATATTTTTCATGAAATAAAATGTCCCATAATCACACTGTTAGTGCTACATCTAAAACATTCCATTTGTTTCAAATCAAATCTTGGATACTAAATAACAGTCTGACCGAATGTTAATCAAAAGGAGTAAAGAACTGTATGTAAAAAATTAATTATTTAAACAATACTTCATTTTCCCAGACAAAAGTAAATAAAGCATTATGGCATTAGTTTTAAGTCATAGTATATCAAGGAAAACAATAATTACTCATTTACTTATTGACATTCTCTCTCTCTCTCTCTCTCTCTCTCGTGCGCGCACGCACTCTTTCTCTTAATATAGATATTTCATTGCATTTCCATAACAAAAAAATAAAAAAAATGAAAATAAAATTAAGAAAAAAAATATGCAAAAAATGACCCACTCCAGGATTCGAACTCGTGCTCTGGTAAATTAATAGAAAGAAGTCCGTCAGCATATCCACTATAACATTTCGTACACGATAGTGAAATGTTGTTATTTACTGTGCACATTTTGCATTTCGTATGGAGAATAATTTTTATTAAATTTTTGCGTTTTTAAAAAATGTGGCTCTTTGAAAAAAAAATCGGAAATAGCAGTTTTGAAGAAAATCCCTTCCTCTTTGTGCATATATCAAAAGTATTTTGTTTCAAGGAGGCAATTTTTCAGAATAATGGGGATTCCCTATTTAAAAAAACGGAAAATCTGATATATTTTGTTGTGAGACTAATTTAAACTTCAATTTATGGTAAATTGGAAGTCAACAGGCAGCTTGCAAATATTGTTCCTCATTGTACTTTATATACTATTGCATTTGAGAAAAAAATAATATCAGTTTCTGTTACATATTTTTTTTTCTTTAAATCTGCTACACATTTAGGGAAAATAACAAAAGAACTGCAACACCCTCTTCCAAAATTGACCTGCTCCCCGACCCCATTTCCGCATTCTTTTACTCTAAATAAGTTTGAAATAAATCGTGATATCTTTAAAGTTTTTCGTGTGTGAAAAATTAATTGAATTTATTGTAGAAACGTTTAACTACTAAAACTGGCAATGGTATGTCGATAATTAAAACAAAAAGATACGACAGAAGTCCACAAACTTTCCTAACAGCCCTCGTATATGTACAATGTAGACAGCAATTCATCTACATCTAAAATTTGTAAAAATGATTGATTATCCGGATTCAACTATTGTTCGATAGTGAGTCATTAATTAAATTTTTTTCAAGGTGAAGCAATTAAGCTAATTTAAAAATTATTTAGAATTTTATCAAGTTCAGTAATAAACTTCATCTGCCCAAATAAAAAAAAACTGATTGATGTGTTAGGTCAACTTAGAAATAAATCAAGGTAAACTCCCCAGCAAAAACCTGCTTTACTTTCCGTTAGCGTTTAGAAGTAAAATGTGGTAAATCCAGGGGGACAAGCATACAGACAGACAGACAAAGAGGTAGTCTTGAGTCTCCATAGGTTTCACTTGTAGCTAGGGGACTAATAATCAGGGTATTTAATAAACAAGAATCAAAGTAAATACTGTACATATTAAATATCATGCTACAATACATAAATTTCATATATCAACATACGTCATAGCACTATCTTTCACAAGAATTATGGAATTTTACGAGTAAAATTTCTTAATGACAATAATTACAATGTATCTTTAAAATAAATACAAATTTTGCATTAAAAAGGGAAATTTTCATAAAGGATTTTACTATTTTTTTTTTTATTTTACATTAATCATTGACTTCTCAAAACATTTGGCTACATATTTCTCATTTTTATCAGTTGAATGAACCTTTCGATCGTCCAGTTTATTTTTAGTTATCGATGCTGTTGTAGATAACAATGTCAGTGTACTGCTGAGTAGCGGAATACCTGAAGTAATGTGTACTCTGACCCTCTGAAATTACAGTCAAAACACCGGGATATCTTTAACTTATCTAGATAAGTGTTTCAAATGTACGTAAATTGATTCGTGTCTTTCTGTGATTCTGCCATTCCACAGTAACTATATGTAACATTTTATGTTTATAATGCTTTCACACTGATACAAATGTTGCAAATTCTAAAAACAAAAACCTCTTTATTAACTGCGTAATATGCTCATTAACTGTAGGTTAACATGGTTAATAACGTTTTGCGTTCATAAGACTAGTAAGCATTTTTAATGCTAAAACGGAAACAGTTAGGGGATCAGTAGTCTGTATATATGTTAAGAAGAAATATTTCATATTTCCTCAACTTTATTTTTGATATTGTAAAAATGAAGTTCATGTTCACTACATGTAAATCTAAAACAATTTACAACATAGACTGTATTTCGGGGTGAGATTCTCGGGGTTCGTTCGATACCAGCGTCGACCGCTTTCTGGCCAGGAGCTCTGTCTTTGATTGGCTATAATTATTATCGTCGTACATTTTTGGGTTCTTATATCCACAGAACCTTGATAATAACCGAAAGTACCCTTTCTGTACAATTCTTAACCTTGCTGCATATATGATTGGGTCACAAACGGAATTCACCACAACAAGAATATATAAATATCTGTTGGCACGATAAAGCGTTTCGTATACCCTATTCCTACTGTCTAAAGCGTGTAACTGAATCAGAACAGACACCTGGAAGACTAAATTCGGAAGCCAGCAGACAACGAAAGTGCCGATGATAAGCGCCGAGGTTTTCAGTGCCTTAGTGTTATGCAGTGCGTCTTTATGGAGCGCTGTGCCCTCTGTGCTTACACGTCGCACAATACAAAATATTCTTGTATAAATGAATAACATGGCGACAGAACAAACTGCCGCGGTGAATATCACAAAATATTCCGCATGGAAAACAGAAAAGTTGGTAATTTCACAAAAATTTAAATATTGGAATGCCTCCGACTTTTGAAATCCACCAAAGAAGGAAGAAAATCCACACAGAAATCCTATAATCCATAAAATGGTTATCATGAAGTTTGTCCGACAGCGGTTTAAAAGATGCACATACCGATAAGGCATCAAAATCGCTATATAGTGATCTATAGCTATTGCTAAAAGGTTCAACAGCGACATCAAGTTTGCCATATTGTTGAATGACACGACAATAACTTGAATGCAGGCGGAGAGGAGCCGGGAATTAGGATCGGGATCGTTTGATGAAGATGGCACATTGAAATGGCTGTCAACAACGTGCATAAATACACTGACTGAGACGAGAATATCGGAGGCTGCGAGACTTATTATCACTTTGGTATGTGACGTCGAAGAGATTTGTGACGTAGCCATGATGGACACAACATTAAACAACAATGCAACAACACACAGAATAAAAGTCACAATTGTCTCGGGCCGCGCCAAGTCTTCACCTTCATCCTGGTTTTCAAACAAGGGAACGAACGTAGAGTTGGACCTGTATGAAGCATTGAATCTTGACAAATTCCGACACAATCTTATCACATATCTTAGATTAGTTCCATTGAATGCGTTTTGGCCCTCCTCACATAACCAGTCCATTCGCCAGTCCGGCATCGTTACTCTTCCATTAATCATATGCAGTTTTTCTTACTCTTGAGAACTACCACACTGCCCGCCATTTTGGCTGAAAAAAAAATAAATACAACTGAGTTAACACTACGGAATATTAACTGGCAAGATCTGAAATATACAACTTACGTCATTTCCATATGTTACAGTCAAAACTTTATAATAGTTGATAATAAACAATGAAAAGGGCGGGTAAAATTTGACACGGACTTCTGAGAAAACCCTGGATTGAAATTCTGGTTCGAAATCCATCTACCTGAGTTATTTCATCTGCTGTTTTTATTACTGATATGAACCCCATACTTCCAATCATTCTGGTTGAATTAAAACAAGTCAACTGAGTAAAAGGACTGCGAGTGAACCATTACGCTTCAAGTCCTACCAAGGTAGACAACTTCTGCTTATAATAAATTGAAAAAAATAACTTTAATATCTTGCGCTTGAATTTATTTCGGACAGGCAGACAGACAGACACAGGAAAAAGCGATCCCATTGCAGGAGACACAAGAAATATTCTGAATATAATTATTAGCATCACTAAAGAAGGACAACGACCATTCATGAACAATGATAAAAAAAGACAGATGCTTCTTATTATCATGCATAGTTTGTAATAAATCATAATGGATCATTATTAAGTAGGAATCATATCTCAAAGATAAAAAGGCGAATATTGTTGACCTTAATGAATTGGGCACGTAAGTAGAACATAAATAAGTGTGATATAGCACATGTACTTGAATTTAAATACATTTAGGGTTTCGCACGTTTCAATGGCTTTATCAGACGACTTTTAGTAAGGTTAAACCCATTATACAATATAGTGTATGCAAGAGATAAATTAGGGCCAACCAACATATTTCAGCTACTACCGAAAACGTCCCGTAATCTAGAATAAATAAAACTCAAGGTAACGATATTGTTCATTATAAATACTAAATAAGAGAAGTAAAACGTTTTAAAAAATCGTGGTTAAGAGCCGGTGAAACGTATAAACACTTATAAAATACTACACCTTTGGCGATTTTGAGAAAACATCCATCAACATCCAAACTAATCTCATTTCAAATTGATACAAAGCACACTATACAAAAATCTCAGTTTAAATTGATACAAAATACACGATACAAAAAGGGAGTGTTAGAAGATAATTATGACAGCTTTTTGAGAAAAAAAACGTTTTCTCTTCAGATAGCAGTTGGCGATACGATGTTTTGCCAAGGCCAAGTAAATATCATTTCCTTGTAAAAAGAATATGTGTACGTATCATTGAATTATTGTTATTAATTTTTCATGTTCTTTGAGAATATGAGATGTATATCTGTGTAATAAAAATACAAAACAATTACTCGCCAGGCATCGCGTCATCATGCGCAGGCCTTAAACAAGTCTGTTTTGCATCTTTTACTTTCATTTCAAAGCTGGGGCATGTAAATCACCGCCTTCTTGTTTCCACACGACCCTGCATAAACTTAATTTAGATTCAGGTTAACCTAACTATTGAGCTGAGTGTGTAGAATCTTCCAGATGCAATATCATGCGAACTACAAGAAATGGTTATGTACACTTAGGCTGTTGAACCCCCCCCCCCCTTCCCCTTGTTTGATAACAAAGATTGAGGACAGATATAAAATAGATAAAAAATATATATAATAAAAAACGAATGCAGGCCAATTTTTTTTTTTTGGGGGGGGGCTATTTTAGTTGTAAACATATAAAATTTCAAAAATATTAAGAAATGGTAAATTAAACTTTCTATAATGTTGAAAAGTTACCTTTCTGCGATTTCTCTACTGTGCAATTTAGTCAAGCTTAATTTGTTCATAGTTGACGTTCCAAGGGAATTATAATCATGATCATGTACACTAATCTCATATTTGTGCAGCATGGTACATGTATCATTATGTGGAGAACAATTTATTATGGCAGTAAAAATTTGACATTATGAAAATAGATCGCTTTTTTTTTATTATTATTTACCAAGGATAATCATGTATGTTGTCCGGACAGTTGGCGTATTTATTTAAAATTTGTCGATTTTCAACCGATTTTAAACAATATACCTCTGAATTGTCCCAAAAACATGTTTTCATGTAACCGAATAAGTTATTATTTTTTTTTATTATTATTTACCAAGCTTTAAGGATAATCATGTATGTTGTCCGGACAGTTGGCGTATTTATTTAAAATTTGTCGACTTTCAACCGATTTTAAACAATATACCTCTGAATTGTCCCAAAAACATGTTTTCATGTAACCGAATAAGTTATTTTTTTTATTATTATTTACCAAGCTTTAAGGATAATCATGTATGTTGTCCGGACAGTTGGCGTATTTATTTAAAATTTGTCGATTTTCAACCGATTTTAAACAATATACCTCTGAATTGTCCCAAAAACATGTTTTCATGTAACCGAATAAGTTATTTTTATTATTATAAATTATAGAAATCGTTGAAGGATTGACTGTCATTTGAGAATGATGCCTGGAGTCAGCGCATTTAACATCAAATAATAACTGAGGACAGTTGCTAATAACCGTGTTTATCTTGAAATATTTGTTTACTAACAATGATTTTACGTCAATCTCTGTTACAAAAACACCAGCTGTTCTTTCTAAAATTACAAAAAATTATAGGCACATGTGTTTAACAAAATCTCGGTTGAATGTACCTAAATGTACCCAAGAGACATTCTCTACAGAGCTGTCAAGACCAAGGGGATACATGTTTGCATTTTGTCACTAATAAATAAATCTCAGTTTTTTAATAATTTCTTCGATATAACCTTGAGTTTATCTGGTAGATGTAATCAAATGTGCATATATAATGAAAACAAAACATCAGACATCCAGGCTTAAAATGTCTGAGATACGAAATCTAAAGGCATTATTTCATGAAGGAGAATATGAGTTATTAATGGTGTTTTTGCCCAAACTATTTTCATCAGGTTTATGTAAGAGGACTTCAGGATACAATCTTGAGACTATCTGAGACAGAAGTGGCAATTTTAATACGCAAAATGAAATTTTCTACACGGTTGCAACACATGTTAGGCCACATATAAAATTATCAGTGCAGTTGGGGCATCCAAGAATCAGATAAATTTCGAAATTAGAACTGAAGCATAAAATTCAGTGCATGTGGTAGATAATAAAGATGTCAGAAAAATCGATATATACACTGTACAAATATTCATGTAACATTAGGATTTTTTTCTAAACATTGTAATGTTATATATACTACTAGTATACCGATATTTCCCTTGTCGTCGCGGTACTTATTTAACCAGTTAATTTTCTTCATCGTACACAGTTAATTACTTTTCATGAATAATGAACTAGTTAACGACCGTCACACTAGACTCATTAATGAGATTCTATAAAAGAATTGTCATTTGAAAGTAAACTAAATTCTGATATGATAGAGAGAAGATTCCTTTCCTGGAATCCAATGCAGAACTTTAAAAGAGAGACTAATAATGAAAATGGTAAATTCTTACCTTAATTATCCCTGCATAAAAATGTATACAAATGATTTACTAAATCACGTCAAAAAATCAAAGGGTCGAAGAATTCATAACTATTATTACATGTACAATGATTGAAAATGACACATGGAATAGGCTTGTGGCGAAGCTCGACACGGCTCAGTGAACAGATTTTTATCACTATTAGTTCTATGATACATCTACATTCGACGCTGAGACACAATTTGTAGAATAATTCAGGTGAAAAATTCAGATTACATTTCTTTGTACAAGTTTTCGTATAAATGTATTCAAACTTTGACACACTAATTTTTCAGACTACCAGTATAGATAAGGCATAGGTAAATTAACCTGGGAGTCTATTGATTTTTACCTGTTAAATTCTTACCTGTATCCGCGCTGACCCCCGGGGCGGGAGGGGAGTAATCAGTTTTCGTGTATGCGCAGTAGACGCTGTAATGTCCTCTTATTTAACACACAGTAAAACCCACTGGACTTTCTGCCCGGTTGACGACACTACACTGTCACAGGACGCCACCTTTTTATAATACATGTCATCGCTCCATCATCAGAGGTCAGATTGTCTCTCTCGGGCGCGGATCTCATTCACTCGGCGTCTCTTTTTCTAATCGAAACATTTTTGACGGAGTAAACATATCTTTGGAAGCAAGTGTGAGTAATTACACATAAGTAGTCGGTAATTACAGTAGCTCGTCAGTGTTGAATTGAGAGATTACGAGAAATTTTGTTACTCTCTGTGCACTTAGGGGTTAAAAATATGTGCTACTATATGAAACGAACACTCAGAAAAATATGATTTCACAAGGAATGCCTTGGGTTTGTATGATGAAAAATATTTTAGGTTAATCAATGCACGAAAAGGATGCCTATAGGCTGGTCTGATGCTTGCACAGAGCGACAATTGCGGGAGGGTGACCGAATTATTTTTTAAGCTTGAACTTTAGACCTCTAGTTCTAATGATTTCCTTTCAATAGTCGGAGACTTGTTGATAAAATCAAATAAATTAATGTCCAAAGTCTACGTCATTAGAAATACCTTGAGTAGTTCAACCGATATACATGTATATATTGGCGTCTGTGACAAATTTCAAATTAATTCCATTTCGCTCTCTCTCTCTCTCTCTCTCGTTATATTCGTTCACCGATTCTATCTTCTTCTTGTTCTCTCTTTTTATTTCTCTCCCAGTCTCTATTTCTCTGTCTCTTTCATTTTTACATAATTAATGATTTGTTTGCCCTTTCGACATTCTGCTTTATATAATTAAAAGAAAGCAGTGAGGGGACCAGGGCCTACATATTATTACACGTACATAGAGGGTCTTATTTAAAACAGATACTGGTTGAATACATAATTATATGTCGTAACGACTTAACAATAAATGTAATAAAATGCCTTTCCCAATACTTCAATTGTCGATAATTTTGCCATCCGCTGAATATATATAACTACTGAATGTGTTTACAAGGGAATTAACTCTTACTGTTACTGAGATGAAATGTATTTGATATGTCATAATGCCCAAAACTCCTCATTTACAGGCGGAGGTGTGCTACATGTAGATAAGTTCTTCCTTCTACTAAAGGATGCTTCAGATTTTGTCTAACAATAAACACATTTTGGAATGATTGTATGGATACCTGATGTAACGTTTCTCTGTTTGATACAAAGAATTCGCAGGGTTGGAATTCGAGTGACGAATTAGAATATATTAGTTCACAGTATAATTGACGATACCAAACACAATGAATACGATACAAACAAAAACATGTAGTAAAAATCCTCATAAAACCTAAAGGGAACAAAATTATGCAACAAGGAACAAGGATGTAGTGTAAACATAATGTGCCCCCATTTCATACTTTTAATAAAAATTACAAAGTTGATTGAGACAACACCCACCCTAAAATTCTACACTTAAAACTCTTACATTTTTGGGTAGGAAGGATAAGCGGCAAAATATTGTAAACATTGATAACAGCAAATAACAAAGATGGAGAGTGACGTAACTGCAAATTTCATGAACAACACGATGCGTTTGTGAAACAACACGTACGGCAGCTTTTGACAAAGGTAAAGGTTTCATAAATGCAAGTTTAACTCCAAGGTCAAGGTCAAGAGATAGAAAATGTTTTACCCATAGAAAGGACTTGTTTCGATAATTTTACCTATGAAATATAAAAACCCAAGTACCAATCATTCAAAACGTATGGCTAAGTTTAAACTTTTTTTAAATGTTGGTTTTAGTCTAAGGTCAAGATCAAATTAATGGAACCCAGGGCCTAGTCATTAGAAATATACATGTGGAATATGAAAGCCCTAACACAAACTGTTCATTGACACATGCTTTGACAAAGTATAAGTTTTTCAAATTAAGGTCAAACATTCAGGTCAAGGTCAAAATCGGTTTGTACCCAAACAAAAGACTAGTCACTAGGAATACAATTTTGAATTATGAGGACCCTATTAATAACTGTTCAAAAGTTAAGGTCAAGTTTAAAGTTCTTTTTTTTTTAAAATAGGTCAAATTCAAAGGTCAAGGTCAAATGTAAAAACATTTACATCCTTCGAAAAGGTCTTATCACAATTAAAATGTATTGAAATATGAAAGATTTAGCACCAAATTTCAAAAATTATGACCACGATTAAAGTTTGAAAATTTTGTGCAAAAATGAGTAAAACTCAAAGTTGAAGTATAAATGTCAAATATGAACATATCGAAATGAAGGTCTTGTCACAAAGAATACACATATGAAACGTGAAAGTATTTACGATACATGTCACAGGGACATAATAAACTGAGCTTCTTGCTAAAAATGCGGCCCAGTCTAAGAGAGAAATATTTGCTAAAATTTAAAGTTGACAGAAATGTTTTTTCTATGCTTCCTAATCAAACGTTTTTTTTTTAGTTTTTGTCGTCAGTATTTCTCTTAGAGTAGTTTGATCCACTTTTTAAAAACCTTAGCCATAACTTTTGAACAGTTAGAATTCGGGCTTTCATATTTCACAGGGTATTCGATGTGACAAGACCTTCCTTTTGGGCACCAACATTTTTGACCCTTTGACCTTGACCTTTGGAGTTTGACATGCATTTGAGAAAATTCAACCCTTGCCATAATTAAGCTGCCATATGGGGGCAACAGTGTTTCGCAAGCACATCATTTTATTATTATTTTTTTATTTTTGCAAAAAGGGTCAAACTCTAAGTTCAAGATCAAAAGTTCAAATGTTCGTGTCCAAATGACCCACTTTTGCCCACTGGTTTTGGACATATCTTTTGAATAGTTGATGTTAGGACTTTCAAATTTCACATTTGTATTCAGTGTGACAAGACCTTTTCATGGATTTTAACATTTTGACCTTACCCTTTAATTTCAGTTTGAACCCCCCCTTTTTTTTTTTAAAAAAAATTAACCTTGAACTTTTAATGTTTTTTGGAACAGTTTGTACCAGAGCCTTCATATTTTTCAGGTTTCATTGTGACAAAGCCCTCCTTTGGATAGCAACAATTGACATTTTGACATTGGTGCTTGACCTCCTTTTGAAAAAAATATTCTTGGCCTTAGCCTCACTTTTAAACAGGTGTGCTAAAACTTTTTTTTCACAAGCATATACCTTATGACCTTTTGATCATTACCTTGGAATTTGACCTTCATTTCACAAACATTATCCTTGGTCATATCTTTTGGATAGTTAGTATTTTAGCTTTCATATTCATACGTGTATTCATAGAAACATTAAAGCCATATATGGCGTAACTGTTCAAAAATATATATTTTTGAAAAATACAAAATTATGTAAAGAAATATAGTTGATACATTTAAATTAAAGCTTTTCATACAATTCTGAACACGTAGAACACCTCGTTTCATCTAATAATACGATTTTATCTTCTCTGTAATGTGTTATTTAAATATTTTGTATTTTCTTCCGAGTCGGAGAAAATTCCGAGAATCCAAATTAAATTGTAATATCTTTATAACGCAATTGATTTAGCTTTTGTAATTTACGTAAAAGTTCTTTATATAAAGTAATGATACAAATAATAAGTTCTTATAATTTTAGTTTAATAATTTTCACTGTACATACGCCATAGATGGCTTTAAGTCCTTTCTTTGGGTTGTAATATTTTTCATCTATATATCATCTACTGACCTTGAAGTTTGATTTAAATTTGAGAAACTTCAGACTTTATCACAAGACGAGGGTTTCAGTATTTCTAAATCATATCCTTTTTAAATTTAAAATACAGTTCATCCATCTATTAAAGCAATTTTATGCGCCCGGATTGATAGATCCGGGGCGTATATTGCTTCTGTCCTGTCTGTCTGATTGTCTGTTTGTTTGTCTGCAAACTTTAACCTTCACCATAACTTTTGAACCATGAAAGATAGAGACTTCGTATTTGGAGTGCATGCTCCACTAATTAAGTTCTTTGAAACGACACCAAGGACAATGGCCTTGTGACCTTGATTGTTACCTACATGTATATGCTAAAATAGCTGTTAATCTGCAAACTTTAATCTTCCCCATAACGCATGTCTGCCAAGATATGCAAGATATGCGTTTGAACCATAAAAGATAGAGACTTCATATTTGGTATGCTTACTTCACTAATTAGGTTCTTTCAAATGACACCAAGGTCAATGACCTTGTGACCTTGACTGTGACCTGTATGCTAAATATAGTTTTTCGTATTCTTTGCCATTACTTTCAAACCATAGAAGATAGAGACTGCATATTTACTATGCATGCTCTACTAGTTAAGCTCTTTTAAATGACACCAAGGTCAATGATCTTGTGACCTTTTTTGACCATGCTATAAATAGTTTTTTCGTACCTTTGCCATAAATTTTTGAACCACATGAGATAGAGACTTCATATTTGGTATCCATACTTTAGTAATCAAGTTCTTTCAAATAACACCAAGGCCAATGGCCTTGTGATCTTGACTGTGACAAATATGCTAAAAATAGCTTTTAAAAAAAGAATGTGTAACCGCCGGGCGCATAGTGTTTCACAAACACATCTTGTTTCAATTATTTACGGATTTTTTTTTGGTCACTTAACGATAATCTTATTAAGAATAATAGAGTTATATCTCTTTACCTGTTGTGAAAAGTCGATATATACTTACAATTTTATTTACAGACACGGCTATATTTAATTTAATGCCAAGCCAGCCTGTAGCTAGGAGTAGCTAATAAACATTCCACATTATGGCATATATTTTTGACATTGCTTATCTTTTGGGAAATAATTACTTTGTAGAAAACCAATATATACGAATACATGTTTATGGGTTTTGCCTTATCTTCCCTCAGTAACAAAAGTATATTTTACTTCATGTATACTCAAGTTTTCATACAAAAAGACAGTGAGGCTACATATAACCCCAATTTTGATAGAATTGTGTAGATGTTTTAAGGATATCCGATCCTCAGCCAGGTAGGATAACTCCAAAAATTAATATTTAATTTGAAAAGCATCAAAATGAATCTTGAAAATGAATTTTTTCATGCAACAATTTTCATTTTATTCATCTTTATAAGATTCAAGGTCTTTGGAAGTCTTAGAAAAGGTCATTTGTATCCTATAATAGGAGAAAAAATAATACAG